TATATAGTTCTTATACAATAATTTTATTCCTGTTCTCTAGCCATATATACCATCTACTCCAAACTTGGTAGCATTCCGATTCTTCTCTCTTTCAATTCCATAGTCAACCTATCCATCTCTGCACACTCATATACCTTTCTTATTATCATTGCCTCTGAAGGAATATTAGTCTGTTTCCAATTTTGGGTGAAAATGATTCTGGTTGCCGTTAATATGTGTAATATTATATATTGAAGTTTCTTTGCCATTTTCCCATCTAAAATTCCCAATAAAAATAATTCTGGCTTCAATTCAATCTTTTGTTCAGTAATTTCTTCCAACCATTCCCTTATTTTAGGCCAATACTTTCTGGCTCTGGGGCAGGTCCACGTGATAGAAAGTTCCCTGTTAATAACTATATCTCCAGCATTCGGGTAAACGGTTTGGAAACATTTTGGCCAATCTCGTTGGGGGTAAATGCCAACAATAAAACATCGTGTAGAGGTTTTCCTTATAGGCTGCTGACATTGTTAGTTTATAATTTTTCTCCCATAATTTGTCCCAATGGTCTAATTCAATATTATGCCCAAAATTTCTAGCCCAATTTATCATTGTCTCCTTCACAGTTTCTTCTTCCATTTTGAATCTTAGGAAGAAGTTGTATGCTTTTGTATTCATTTTCCCCCCTGTCCCTAGCAATAGGTTGCATGACTCTCCTGCAAAGCAGATCAGTGTTTCTTATGTAATTTCTTCACATGTTGTCCTTTTTAATAAAAAAAAACTAAATGCACTGTATGGAAGATTTACTGTAGTAGTAATGCCATTAAGGATTTGATGAAATGCCCTAGATAAAAGAATAGTGTTAAGCAAGACCCCAAGTATTCCTTTCTTTTACCTTCTGAATAGAAATCTTCTTTCCTAGAGCAGCCATTGGTAATAAGACAACTTGGCAGGTAGCTACTCAGAATTAGTGTCCGAGTATCTAAAGAATTTTGTTGTGACTTTGTTACCTAGAGAACAGAGCTTAGAGGTGGGTTGCAAGCTGCATTAAGCAGCATTATATAATCGAAGGAAGCCAGGAAAAGTATTTGATTATTTGATGTGGCAGAGACCTTTGTAGACTAAGAGATAGGACGCTGACTAGCTGATAACTGAAAGCAAACAATTGATTCTGCTTCACATAGATTTATAGCTCTCTCCTTTCCATTAAATCCTCAGTCTACCTCTTGAGTAAACAGAACACATCTGTCTAATCGGGATTAAGCATACAGTTACTTTTCCTTCATTAGTTCTTTAATTTTATTAGGAGAACAAGTTTGGAAAAGTGGCTAAGGTACCAGACTAGAAACTGTGGTACAGTGAGTTCTAGTCCCACCTGTCAGAAAGCCAGCTTGATACCTTTAAGTCAGTCTCTCCCTCTCTCTCTCTGTAAGAAGTGGGCAATGGCAAATCACTTCTGAAAAACCTTGTCAAGAAAATGGCAGGGACTAGTCCAAGCACTCACCAGGTGTCGAAAACTGACTTGAAGGCATACATTGTTTAACAATTTCCTTTGGGCTTCTAACCAAGACATAAAGATTTAATCTAGTTTAGTTTAGTTTACCCATTGGAAAAATCAGAGATAATCTTACTATATAAGTGACTCAAGATCAGACAATGAACCCATTTCCTAATCGGATAGGTTACCAAAACTCTAAAAGTGGCAAAATTCTGATACGATCAAGTATTGGGAAAAAAATTAAATGTGTAATCAGATACAACTGCAATATTTGCAGTTCAGGAACAAATACATAGATAGATCCAGGAACAGTAGTAAAATAATGCTCTTAGTGTAAATAATACAGACATTGTTTTACATTGATGAAAAAGAGATCAATCAGCATTGTGAAAATAAAACAGTGCACAAAATCCTTGCTGCATACATTTATTTCCCCAGTTCCCAATATAAATGGGGAAACATGTTCCATGCAGGTTTCACTATTACTATTGTGTACACTATTGATCATAAATATTTCCCAGATGAAGTAGAGCAGAGGTGTCAAACTCATTGAGGGCCGCATCAGGATTGTGTTTGACCTTGAGGGGCCTGAGGGGGCATGGCCAGAGTGGGCGAGGCCAGCTCAATGTCACTCATGTCGGGGGCACCTGTGGTGGCCCAAGCGCTCTGTCAGCGAAAACGGGCTCCCGAGTTCCATTTTCGGCTGCGTAGGCCTCCTGGAACCCTCTGCTGCCAGTCAGTGTAGACAATAATCAATCAAATAAATCAAGATAAAATAGTACAATTCCTATTCTACACAATGGAACCCTTTCCCTGACAAATAATAGAAGCAAAATGTACAGTAATGTTGTACATTCAGATTGCAATAATGCAGTCCTCAGGAAGAAATTCTCCATGAGAGAAAACTAGCTTTTGTTCTTTTGCAGTTCTTATCAGTACTAAAAAAACAAATAGTTAGAAGTTTGTTTCTTTATGGAAGGCAAAATAATGCATAATTTGCAGGATAGCTCCAAGCACGTTTATCACATCTCATGCCAATAGCCTACTTGTCACCCTAAAGATCAACCTTTTAAACTTATAAAGTAATGTGTTGAAAAGACATTTTTCTTTCTATTTTCTTGTCTTGCAATTAACAGTTACAATTAGAAAAATGAATGTAGGAATTGAGCTTCAGCTTGTTTTAGATGAAGTTATACTCTCCTTGAAACAGCAGGTTCTCAGTTCTGGAAAGCTAATTCGTCACTGAATTCTCAGGCAGTATCTCTACTGTTGCATAATTTACATTATGTGGTACCTGGGATTGCACTTGAAAAGCAGCCAGAAACTACAGTTGATGCAATACGACGCAGCCTGGTTACTAACAGGCATAAGGACCAATGGTGCCTTTACAATACTGAAAAATCTGTTCTGGCTGCCAATTTTATACCAGGCGTATTTTATTAGCTGATATTAAACTTTAATGTCCTAAATCACTTAGACACTAAGAATTTTTCTCCTGTCCAGCCCTATCCAGCTATCTGGATCTGCAGAAATGTCTCTTCTGAAGATACATCTGCTACCACAGGTCTGTTTTTCTGGCATGAGGGCTTCGCATTTATTGCTTCCAAACTATGGAATAAAAGGATTTTTGGCTTTTAGATCCTGTATCTCAGCATTCTGTGACAAGGTAAAGGTAAAGGTTCCCCTTGCGCATATATGCTAGTCGTTCCCGACTCTAGGGGGCGGTGCTCATCTCCGTTTCAAAGTCGAAGAGCCAACGCTGTCCGAAGACGTCTCCATGGGCATGTGGCTGGCATGACTAAACGCCAAAGGCACACGGAACGCTGTTACCTTCTCACCAAAGGTGGTCCTTATTTTTCTACTTGCATTTTTTATGTGCTTTCGAACTGCTAAGTTGGCAGAAGCTGGGACAAGTAACGGGAGCTCACCCTGTTATGCAGCACTAGGGATTCAAACTGCTGAACTGCCGACCTTTCGATCGACAAGCTCAGCATCTTAGCCACTGAGCCACCGTGTCCCTACATTCTGTGATAAATTAATTTAGATAAGAACACTTTTCTTTCACCAAGCTTTTAATTATTAAATGGCATCAGTATTAATTACAGTATTAATTTATGTTTTTAACTTTTTAGACTCTAAGTCTTTTTTTCCCCAGTTCTGTTAGCTAACATGAACAATTCCTAGAGCACAAAAACAAGATATATAAGGTAAATAAATTACGGAAATCCAAATCAAAGCATGATACAGGGAACTTTTTAAAAGGCATCAATCACAAATTATCCTATTATTGCTGATAGTTCACAACTTGTATAATGGCAATGTCATTTAGAATTCTCCACCCCATTCAATGATAAAAAAACGAACAAACTGTATTGCATATTCAAATTGACAGAAAATGGCGTGCATTTATTCCTCTACTCCTGCAGAAAGTCTGGAAAAGATTTCTTAAAGAAAGCCTACATTATCCTTCTAATTAGTTCTGCAAAATAGAATCCAAGATGCTTCACAGTTGACCAGAGAACCAAATTCAAGTCACCTTCCCAAACTGCAAAACTGTCATAAATCTGAAATCTCCTCTCTTTCTAAATCCATATTACTTATACCAGCTGGCCAGTATTTTCCTTCAGTACATGCATCTATTACGGGGGTACACATTTATTTATTAGATTTTTATCTTCTCTTTATATTACTTTATAAGTAACTCAAGACGGTGAACATACCTAACACTCCTTCCTCCTCCTATTTTCCCCACAACAACCCTGTGAGGTGGGTTGGACCCAGAGAGTGAGTGACCGGTCCAAAGTCACCTAGCTGGCTTTCATGCCTAGAACTCACAGCCTCCTGGTTCCTGGGCTGGTAGCACCTTAGGCCAAAAGGGGCTCATCCTAAATTGAAATCCTAAATTGAAATCCACTTGATTTCCATTATTCTGCCCACATAAGAGCAATGGTTGACTCCCGTTTTTTTGTTTTATTATTGCCAATCTAATGGTTGGTGTTTGGGAGGAGAGGGGGGACAAAGGAAAGTAAGAAACAGAATTTATGCTGATACCGATTTTCTCTCACAGGAATTCCCCGATCTTCCTTGGGCAAAGGCAGCATCAACTCGTGATCGAGAATCTACATGCAGACGGCTCACGTTCTACTACAGGCCAGCCTCGAGGCAGACCCAAGCGCTGGCAAGCAAAAGCGCCAAACATCAGTGCACTCCATTCTCTTCCGAAGCCAGACATTAAAGGGAGATTAACTCTCTGGACCCTCTTTCTTCCTCCGTTCCGCCCTCCTCCTTAAAACATCTCCCCTGTTGCTTGCTCCCCCCACCCCCCCCCATCCCCACCGACGAGATCCAAGGAATGAAATCAACAAAGTCACGCTTTCTTGTCACATGTTTAATGTTTTCATCCAATCGAGCTTTCAGATGCTTTTGGGGGGGGGGAGCTGAGGGGGGGGGCCGCTAAGAAAAGCAACACTTGGCATACCACATTTTCTTTCTAACAAAGCGGGGGGGGGGGGGGGGGGAGGGAGGAAAGAAAAAAAAAGGGGGCTGAAAACAAGAGCGAGTACGCACTAGGAGGAGAAACCCCGGAGTCTAATTCAACAGCAAACATGCTGGAGGCAGTCTTACTGCCGCATAGCGACTGTTTATTATCTATTGTTATCTATCAAAAGTCTCCTGCGGGGGATCATAAAAGTCGCCTTGCAGATACCGCGTCTCCTTTCCGTCTGAAGATACTATCTGCATATCTTGTCCAGACTTTTTTTTTTTTTTTTTTTTTAAACTCTGGCCAAAAGAAAACAAAAACAACCGGCTGAACTCACCACGGTCACCGGGGACACCATGTTTGCCGAGGCGGCTTCTATAGGTAGTTCTTCGCCTTTGCTTATACAGCTGGCTCTAACTGCGGGTCACACAGCTACCGCTTTTAATAAGATCGGAGGGCATCTATTTTTCTCAATGCCGATTGTTTTCTCGGTGCTTTTTAAAGGACGCCGTGACGTCATAATGCTCGGAGCGAATGTGCAGCGAGGGAAGAGAGAAGGGGGGGGGCGGTCCTGCAGCGAATACGTCTCCGCCCCGCTCTCCTCCTACGAAGGGCTGCACTCGCTTGGTGAGTAGACCCGTCCCAATGCGTATTGTAAGGGGAGCAGGGAGTTGTCCGAATGGTAAGAAACCGCTTTCCCCTAAAAAGATGTCGAGCTCTTCTCAACAAACATATATAATTGTGTCGATCGCCAGTTTGTATTATTTATTTATTTTTCTCCCGGTTCTAAATCTTTTTCATCGCCCTTTCCTTGATCGCTTTTGCCGATTTAAGAACAAGGTTAGCTGTCGCGGTGGCTCACTAGAAACAAAACATAAAACTACGGCTGTCTTTATCAGAGGCAACAGCCCAAAAAAAAAAAAAAAAAAAAGAGTACGCAGGCTGCAGCATTTTTACACTTGAATACATCCTGGAAGTTGTACAATACTGTACTCAGTGGAGACTGCAGACACAACAGTAGCTACCAAGGTTTCAGTCCAATGCCTCGTTATCTCGAAGTAATCCCACTGCAAGACGGCAAGGCAAGGTATACTTGTAAATAAGACATGTACAGCAAGGCTGCGTAGGTTTAGGCAGGCTGAGAGACACTGTTGAGTGATGCACCTTTTTTTAAAAAAATTTGATTTATATGCCGCCCTTCTCCGGAGACTCAGGGCGGCTTACAATGTGCTAAGCAATAGCCTTCATTCTTTTGTATATTTATACAAAGTCAGCTTATTGCCCCCACAAACTGGGTCCTCAATTTACCTACCTTAGAAAGGATGGAAGGCTGAGTCAACCTTGAGCCTGCCGAGATTCGAATCTGCAGTAATTGCAGGCAGCTGGTCTTAATAACAGGGTGCTTTAGACCACTGTACTACCAAGGCTCTTTTTTACCTGGGCTAGTTTCCCAATGTGAGCAGGACCACAGCAAAAAATTATGACTAATATTAACTGAAATTTAACAAATAACTAAATGGTAAACATTGAAAGTAAGGATGCCCTTGCATTACCTACATGGATATAAATGTGTAGTTTTCTTAGGAAAAGCATGGAAATAGCATTCTTTTTTTTTCTTCTTCTGTCTTCTTTCATCACACACATGGAAACCAGGAATTACATTTGAAGTGTCATAAAGGAAGCAAGGCAACTCTAGTCCACCCTTCAACCAGTGATTTCTAGCACACACACACTGATTTTTTATTTTATTTTATTTATATGCCGCCCTTCTCCGGAGACTCAGGGCGGCTTACAATGCGTTAAGCAATAGCCTTCATACTTTTGTATATTTTATACAAAGTCAGCTTATTGCCCCCACAATCTGGGTCCTCATTTTACCTACCTTAGAAAGGATGGAAGGCTGAGTCAACCTTGAGCCTGGTGAGGTTTGAACTTGCAGTAATTGCAGGCAGCTGATGTTAATAACAGTGCTTTAGTCTGCTGCGCTACAAGGGCTCTCATGAAGCTGCGAGCTCCAGGAACTGGGAAAAGCCAGAAGGTTGCTACTGGCAGAGCCAAATCTTCCATTACATTACTATTATTTATTTATTAGCCTATCCATTCTTTATTAGTCAGCAAAGTCACAGATCTGCTATAAACAGGATCCAATTTGCAATCCAATCAACCAATTAAAAAATGAAGTACCGTAATTTCTGCTATCCAACAGAGAAAAGGACTAGACTCCAGAGTGAACTGCATCTCCCTGGATGATTTTCTCTCTCTGTCTCTGAAATACACATTCTCTGCCCCCTCCCAAGAAACATTTTCAAGATAACTGAAACAAGCTAGAGCGCTCACATAGAAATGGGGGGGGGAGATACAAGTAATATGAAGATCAGGCCCGATGAAGGGAATGGCTGGAACAGAAAGAAAGAAAATGGGCACAGTTTATGGGATGGGAAATGGGACAGAGAAGCAGGAAGTGCTACTGAAGATAATAGATGGAAAACCACAACTAAATCTGAAACTTGACAGGTGGAGCATTTGCACCAGAGGTGGGTTTCAGCAGGTTCTCACCAGTTCTAGAGAACTGGTAGCGGAAATTTTGAGTAGTTCGGAGAACCGGTAAATACCACCTCTGACTGGTCCCACCCCCCCACCCCCGTCTATTCTCTGCCTCCCGAGTCCCAGCTGATTGGGAGGAAATGGGGATTTTGCAGTAATCTTCCCTGGAGTGGGGAGGGAATGGAGATTTTACAGTATCCTTCCCCTGCCATGCCCACCAAGCTATGCCCACCAAGCCATGGCACACCCACCAAGCCACACCCACAGAACTGGTAGTAAATAATTTTGAAACCCACCACTGATCTGCACAGCCCTGTAGCATCTGAAGTTGGGAGTGGAAGAGTTGGGCATAGGAGGTTTGAGGACAAATTTGAAAATCTCTAAGGCCACATTTGCCCCTTCAGATTGCCCACAAGCACCACCAGTTTGCACCCGTATGATTTATAGAACCAAACTGTAAATGCTAATGTATGGGAGCTCATCTGCATTATTGATTCTGTTTGCACAAAAATCTGAACTGTGTAATCAGGAAGGTATGAACTCCATAATCTAGCTACTCCAGACAATTAACCCTAAGGGAGTTAACCCTGGCCCCAAACAACTCTGAGTTCATTTGAAGCTATATTGAAGCTAGTAACTATTTCTATCAGCTGTGCTATCTAAATATTTAATGGGTGTGTTAACCTCCCTATTAATTATGTATGATTGAGACATCCCAGAGAGATGCTGCTAAAATGGGGCCTCTTACGCAAAGACAACCAATCACTAGCAAAGGAAATCCTATTATAAGCTCAGCGGCATTCAAAAAAAAAAAAAATAGGTTGGCCCAGTATGTTTACATCTCCATTTATTCAAATATATGCAAGCTTCAGTAGTGGCTTTATTCCTAATTCATAGGCATAGACAAAGGGCCTGATCCCCTTTTATTAAAGCTGGCAGCCAATATAGCAACAGAAAACTATAGTTTGACCTTTGTTCTTATTGTGGATGGAAACAGGAAGAGGCGTATTAGACTACAACTTCTATCTTGCTCAGTGGTAGACTTAATGGGAATGAGAATCTTTTGAAAGATGAAGGGTGAAGTTTATCTTGTGTCAGGCAAAAGCTGATGTGGGCAAGGTAATGATGCAAAGTGAGTGATGCCACATCATACACATGGGCACACCTGAGATTTTCTCGTTATTATTGAGTTTAGGGAGGTGTTTTAATGTTACCCCACCATTTTGAATGCATGTCCTATCTCCAGATGGCACAAATGTTCAAGAGTTGTTGTCAGGGGAGCTTTTGGGGTTCATGAGGAGCAGTGCTTGGACTTACATATGGGTTTAACCTACCGTTACATGACATGAATAGTAAAGCTCAGCCAGCAAACCCAGCAGTGAATGGGAATGGAGTTTTGGGTTGCGAGAGGTGACTGACTTATAACTTATATCAGGAGTGTCAAACTCAAGGCGCTTAGTTGCTTAGGTGCTCAAGGGGCTTAGATCTGGCCCATCAGGCCACCCTAGAAACAGTGAAGGACCAGCCCGTGGTGCCTCTGCCAGTGAAAACGGAGATTGGGAGGACCACAGGCGGCCCTCCCGAGCTCCGTTTTTACTGGCAGAGAGTTGCAGGAGGCTATCGCAGCTGAAAACAGAGCTTGGGAGCCCATTTTCACTGGCAAAGCACTCAGGCCACCACAGGTGCCCCCGACACGAGTGACGTCAAGCTGGCCACACCCACCTTGGCCATGCCCACCCCAGCTCCCCGAGGTCAAACACAACCCTGGTGCGGCCCTCAATGAAATCAAGTTTGACATCCCTGACCTACATAATGCTTGAAAAAACTACTTGTTGCAAGGGTATACTGTACCATCAGGGAGGGAGGGAGGGAAGAAGGTAGGTAGGTTTCAATAGTGATCATTCCTGACTTTAGCAATAGCACTTAGACTTATATACTGCTTTACAGTGCTTTACTCTCTAAGCGGTTTACAGAGTCACCAAATTGACCCCAATATTGTCAACCTTGAGCCTGGTGAGATTTGAACTGCCAAATTGCAGGCAGCCGGCAGTCAGCAGAAGTAGCCTGCGGTACTCCACTCTAACCACTGTGCCACCGTGGCTCATAGAATAAAAAACAAATGGGTCTTTTGATTATCTCAAACTTGTCTGTATATCAATTTGTGTTTTTATATCCATTCAGCTATATATGAAAAAGCTTCCAGTTATAATTCAATGATGATTACTTTTAAAACTAAATCTAGTTCGCTCCAAACCTTTGGGCTTGTCCGTTGACCTTCATTTGTAGCACCATCAGCAATTCTGATATTCCAGTTCGTCTGGTCTTCCTTTTAACTCAGTGGCTATGTTCAAGTCATACAATTCAGTTGTGTGAACATTCAGTAAAATCCTAGCAATTGTATTTGTAATTTATATATAAGGTTAAACTTGGTTCCTTTTGAAAGTTTAATGTCTTGCACAAATACAACTGGTTGGATTAGTTTATTGCACAAACCCATAAAATGGATTAAGTTAAGTTTTGGGAATGCAACATTAAGCATGCTTTGGGAACGCAACCACTTTAGCCCAGGAATGCCCTAGGAACCTCCTATAAATGTGCTAACAGTACATGGTGTTTTTTTGCCTGACAGTAACTGATGCAAGAACAAAGAGCATCATTATTAACTAGATTTAGCAACAGACATATAATCCTTGAGAGCCAGTTCGGCAGAGTGGTTCCGGCATCAGGGAGATGACAAATTTATCTTCATTGCTATCAATAGCTATTGCTGATTGTTTGGCTGTAGTAGGAGCAAAGAAATTTCATCAAGTTTTTTTTTTAATAATGGAGTTTTGGTAGTCTTTTCTCAGTTACACCCAGGAGACATTCCTCTATTTCCATGGGTACTTTATACATAAAGGGCAAGGGAGAGAGATAAAAGTAAGGAAATTCATGCTTGGGGTCCCAGTTTAACATTTTATTTTGTATTCATGTCTTTTCACAGATTAGTCTCCATAGTAACCAAGAACTGTGGCACCATTCTAGAACTTGGCTCCAAACACACTGCACGTTAATACTGTAGACTTGGCCAGTTTAGCTACATCCATTGTGTCAACACATGAAGAGAAATTCTGAATTGTAGAGTGGGAAACAGCTAATTTCCCACTCCTCTGCTGATTAGGAATTATAAAAACCGTAGTTCAATATTCATGGAGGACACCTGTTTGCAAAAGGCTAACAGTTCCACATCCTGCATAATCATATTTCACATGAAATCAGTAAAGAAGACAGTCAAGATCCATCTATCTCAAAAACAGAGTTGAGGCATTAAAGAATCATAACCTAGTTTAGAAACGTAATTCAGAAGAAAATTCTGATGTTACTGAAGATGTAGTAAAGCAATTATCTGGGAGTGGCAAAATGATTACGTATTATTTTCCCCACAGTGACTTGCAAAGGAAGTATCTACAAAGCTATTAACATATTTGCTAGTGTAGTGTTAGAAGCATTGCCTCTTCACTGGTACGCATGAAGTAAAATATAGGATGCATGATTAAAATAGTAAATATCAGGATCAGAACTTAATATTTGTCCTACTTACCTAAACCTGAAAACATCAAGAGAGAGGTGCTAAACAATGTGAGCTGTTGTGAATTCAGTATGTGTTATATTTGCATACAATTCATTTCAATCTATGGATATCATCTCCACACAAAGAAATCCTTCCGTTGATCTAACCTTATATTTTAACAAAAGGCATTTCCACTGGAAGATTCTATACAAATTCAAAAGCCACTTTGGACCTTGGCAATCCCACATAGCTTTGTTGGGCAGGCAACCAAATTTACTTCTGCTTTTCTAAGTTCCATTTTGGGATAGTGCATATATGTGGATTGAGTGTGGGTAGAGAAGTCTGGTTAAGATAAATCATAGCCACCTGAAAATGTGATCAGTTCCTGCATCCTAAAAATAATATATTTTGTGGAGAACTTTCTTCTCCCCCATTTTAGCCTCCGCTGCTGCAGCCAGAGGCTGCAAAAGTCAATGACACAATATCATGTCAACTGTATAGCTCTTGGTGAGATTTTTAATAGAGGAGATGTGGGTGGGTATCCTGGCAGTTTTGTCCTATTGCTGTACAGATGCTCAGATCCTTATTTGCAAATAATCCAGCATACACACCATATACTGAAAATGTGGATGGGAAGCAAGCATTAACATTATTTCCTGTTTGTTTTGGGTAGAGATGAAGGGACTTTTTTTTCTTTCTCCAGGATTAGCAGTAGCGTGAACAAGGGAATGATTTAATGATCTTTTTTTGTACACTCCCATTTGTCAACTTGAGTGGAAATGCTGATTGGCTCATTCTTTTCTCTGTTTTTCAAATTCAGCAGAAATGAACATGGTGGGCAGATAAACCTCAAAATTGCTTTGGTGGACTGGGTAGTGGAGTCAATGCCACGTGCAACTGAATAAGCTTATTTCTTTGCTCTTGTTTTCAGGGGCATCTGACAATCTGGTTTCAGCTTTCTAATAGTCTACTGAAATTGCCCTGGCAAAGAATTTTGTCATGGCACCTGTCCTTTGGAATAACATTTCCCCTCCAGAGATTGGACCACCTGAAACTCTGGACATTTTAAAACAAGTGTGGTATATTTTCCAAGCTTTAGGATAAATTGGTGCTGTGCCTGTCAGTATGTAGTTTGCCTTGGTTATATTTGTTCCACCTATGTTCTGCTCTATGATGTTATTTGCCTGTTTTTAGGCATTATATCAGTTTTAATTGTATGCCACCTAATCTGTGCTGAGTTGGGCCACCTTTATAAAGCTATATGATAAATAAATAGCTTTTTGCGTCAAATTAAAGTATTTCTATTCTTGAGTGTTCTCTTATTTATAATTGATAATCCTCTCCTGTTTTGGAATTCTGCCGTGGCTTAATATTTCCAAAACCGTTAACTCATTCATAAATGTTCATTTTCTCTATTGTTCCTCAAGGATCTCCTCTATGTTCCCAGCATCTTCCCCTTTCCACAACTTTTTTGGGTGAGCTCTTCAAATCCTGTAATTCTCACTACCCTTATTCTAATGGCATCCATTTTCTTTTTCTTTTTGTGGATCTCATACCTTCATCTGCTTGCTGTACTCATACTGAACACTCACAACCATCTCAAATGATACCTCTCCAATGCCAACCCACTTCTTTTGCCTCCAAGCCTTCCTATCATTGAACTCTGTCCTTATTCATCAACATCACAATATCTTTGAATGGTTCCAAGTCTTCAACATTAAGGTTAATCATCCAAAAGGGGGTTTTCTCCACATATCTTCCTATTACTTGCAGTCTCTGATCCATCAGCATAATATTCTGCCTTGCTTTTAGTCAGCCAAGCAATCCACCTTGACATTATTCCAAAAATAGAAGCAGCCAAGGAGAAAGAAGAATAAATAATTTGCTAGATCATGGTCTTTTATGAAAAACTAAGTTCTTTTGAGATTTCTGGCTTACTCCTTTAATTTCCATCTTTTCTACCAAACTTTCAGCACAAATAGAATTTCTAAAAATCTCTCTACACCCTATTCTTATCTGTTTCTTCCACTGTCTGATCCTGACTGTAAATGCTTCATAATAACAATCTCACTGATTTAGTCTATGGAGACTCTAAGTCATCCAAGTCATGGTTGTCCCAAAGGTGCTTTTTCTGGAGGCTACCGGACTTCGTTTTTTCTTTGAAGACATTTCACTTCTCATCCAAGAAGCTTCTTCAGCTCTGACTGGCATGGAATCTCCCATTCCCCACCATCTAGTCAGAGCTAAAGAAGCTTCTTGGATGAGAAGCGAAATTTAGCCAAATCTACAAATGGCTTTATGTACTTTTCTTATATGACTTAGAGGCTGTCCAATTCCAGACAACTCTGGGCAGCTTAAACTTTAAACAAGGAAGGAATAATGAAGTAAAAAAACAGAATATACATATCTAGAAGCGGGGGGAGTAGAACAAGGAAAAAAGTTTCTAATCACCTTATACCCTCCCCCCCACCCCCAGGACTAGGAGATGAGCCTGGTTTTGAAAGACCTTTGGAATATTATCAGGATGGGAGCCATGATGTAAACATAAATAAATTATACCAACAACAATAAATACAGGTATTTATTGATTTAAAACATTAAAAGTTGTCAAAGGTAAGCAGAAAAAAGTTTTATCATGTTAAAATCAACATTGTTAAAACTATGCATAATATCCATAGTAGGTGGTAGGTGATAATGTGCATATTCTTGTGTGAGAATCTCTCATTTAAATTCATGTATTTGTAGAATAATTTTAATTGATATTAATTACTTCCATGTAATTCTCCGTTTTACAATAGAAGAGAACGCTTTTTCCTTTTGCCAACTTAAAGCAGATTCAGGCCAAGACTACAGAATGCTTTTCAAAAGAACTTGTTGCATAAATTCTTATTTTACACAAAACTCCTTTGTCAGTTTTGCTCTCTGATGTCTATAAATCTGTATATCTATGGATATTTTGGATGTATTGCTGATTCAGATTTCCATTTCACATTGTCTTTGTTTTAGCTAATGTTTTTACTAAATCTCTCCCATAAACTTCCATTGATAGTTCAACTGCAAGAGACAAATGCTTCATTGTAAGCAATAAATGGACTGTCTCATTTAGCTGAATGGAGGTTTCAAAGATTCTTACTGCGCCCAGTTTGATGGTGACTGTGCCATGCTATGATAAGAGACCTGGAAAAAATTGGATACAATGCTTCTCTGCTCCCAGTGTTTTAGTTCTTGCTTTAACTTATTGGCAGAGTTACACATAAAAAAAGATGAAAGAAATATATATTCTTAGAAGATGGACAGTGCAGTTCTACCAACAGTTACTTAGAAGACCAAGATCAGGACAAACTTTCTTTTTACAAAGTCCACAACTGTCCCCAATTTATTTGCCTAGGGTACTACAACTACTATGAGAAAAGTAATCTTTCTACCACCAATTCCTTTATTGGATTGCCTGGGCACCTACTGAAAACATTTCAACAGAACAAGTGCAGTGAGGCTCAGGGAGGTTACATGGGCTGGGGATTACTTACCCAAGCAATTTCAAATCTTCTCAGCCAGTTTCCCCATTGACTTTGCTTTTGGGAAGCAAGCAGGGAAGGTTGTAAATCATGATAATCTGACATTGGGATGCTGCAACTGTTGTAAATGGGAGCTGGCTGCTAAGTACCCAGATCGCACTCAAATCATCATGGGGATGGCTTTGAGGAGTGGACAAAAGTACCATTCGATTAATGCTGTCATAACTGTCAAGTGGTTGTTAACCAAGGACTACCCGTATGTTATCGCTGGAGGGAAGAGCCACTTCTCCCTATACAGGTACATATAATGCTGCTGGGGAAGTGGGCATCAGATTTTTAAAGCATCTCTAGCTCCTGATTCTAAATGTACTATTTTCCTGTTTGGGGGGAGAAAAACAGAAGATGCTAGTTAGACCAGGGGTCACCAACCTTTTGGACCTCAGGGACCACTAAATTCATAATTTTAAATCCCGCAGACCACTAATATGATTTTTTTAAAAAGATAAATAGTATTTAGTGCAATGTAAAAAATGCAAATAATTTTTCTGCGGACCACCAAAATTTTCTCACGGACTACCGGTTGGTGAACTCTGATTTAGACAACTGCACTACAAAACTGTGGCTATGAACGGAACATTTCAAGAACCAGGAATGGACACTTTGCAAAATGAGCATACTGTAACTCTTTCGTCTTGCAATCTGTATTATGAGGGGGGTTTTTTTGGTTTTTTTTTAATTTGATTTATATGCTGCCCTTCTCCGGAGACTCCGGGCGGCTTACAGTGCGTTAAGCAATAGCCTTCATACTTTTGTATATTTTATACAACGTCAGCTTATTGCCCCCACAAACTGGGTCCTCAATTTACCTACCTTAGAAAGGATGGAAGGCTGAGTCAACCTTGAGCCTGGCAAGATTCGATCTTACTTTAATTGCAGACAGCTGGTGTTAAATTACAGTGCTTCTGTCTGTTGAGCTAAACCAGGCTCCTGGTTTAGGTTTTCATGACTATCGCAGATACAGTTCTCTTAAACGCTTGGGCAAAGATCAACAAGGATTTTAAACAAAAATTTACATCTGATTTTCCTGCTAGCAGGGAAATTAGGTGATATGTTCTGCTTCAGGAAGGAAAAATTATATAGCTATATCCTACCAAGAAACTTCTGCACCACAAACTTTTCACCCAGCAAGGACTATAAAATAATTTGTAGCAGACCTACTAGTGTTTTCCCCATTGTCATCCTTGTACTACTTGAGAACACTACGTGGCTGAACAATAATGGAACACAAAAGTCCTGCCCATATCAACCGTTATCTCTGATGTTTTTCTTACAATACATGTTGTACGCAGCTTCAGAGCTGCTACAGTGAAGGATTCCTACAACAGACTAGGTCTAGGACCTTGAAGTTTTCAGTTCCTTTCTCAAGGAAAAAAGCAATAAATGGCCTTGTCTATTAGTACTGTCTATGCATTCATGAAAGATAAGTGTTGATTTATTTATATATTCCAAATAGTGCCACTTGAATGTTATAGTCTGCATTCTTCAGCTTTTATCTTTCTCCTTTCAGTCACTCAGAGAACATCTATAGATACAGAATAAAAATATTTCATAACTCAACATATACAAATGCTGAACTGATAAGTTTTAGTGATGTTCCCCTTAGAATCAGCAGCCAGAAGCAGAATACCATAAAAATTCCTGCCAATAGGAAGCTGTCCATTCCCTAGACTGCAGCATCTCAAAAAATAAACTCTGGTCTATTGTACACCACAGATCCATCAAAAGTAAATCAACTCACCTATCTGATAATGGCACCAACTGTGAACAGAACCATTTGTTGTGATAACTTCCTGGCTTGGAATATAGGTTCATTGCATGACAAATTATTTAGCTCTTTTCAAATTTCTATAGCTTGTAAGGTATTAGAATCCTGGTAGGTTTGTTACTAGAGCCAACCCCCATAGCTGCTTTATTTATTAATTTGACTGAATAATAAATGTATCTGATAATGCATTAGGATTTCTAGGTGCACAGCATTAATTAGTGGATCTTTCTTTAAAAAGCTAGGTACCTTGCTTGTAGTAGGTGGGGAGAAAGTAAGACCCACAGCATCTCCATTCATCCTGTTCATGTGTCTCAGCACTGGCTGAGATAGCACGATAGGAAAACATTCACACCTCAAAACTTGTTCACCACTGAAGCAGATGTTCCCTTGCCTGCTCTGGAATTTGAGAAGATAGAACTTCCATGTTTCCACACTTAGCAACTTAGCGCAATTTATAATTGTATCTATAACTGCTGTAAAAAGGTAGTGGTTTCCCCAGTCCATTTGTATCTTACTCTAGGGCAGTGATGGCTAACCTTCTTGCACTTTTAGCCCTCTCTTTGATTTATTTTTTTCTTCTTCTTAGTCTATATTAGCTTGGGTTATTTACTATTTTAAAAACTTTATATGAAATGATATTAAAAAACCATAACAACCTAATACAATTACACTATTATAGTATGCCTAAACCCTCTACTATTGTATGAAACGTAAAGTGGTACAGGAATTAAAGCACACGTATGCTTGAGAATATCATGTTTCTGACTTGCAGGGATGAGGGAAGTTAGAAATGTTTATGTTTGTGTACAGTTTGGCTCATCATCTCCAAAAAGTCACGAGTAAAAACTGCATATCCTGCACTTCTCCTATTTTAGTACACTGCATCATATGTGAGACTTCCAGCAGTGAATATACATTCCTCCACCTTCCAGGCCTATGACAGTCATCATTTGCATTACTAAAAGAGGCAAGAAACTTCTTAATTGATACATCTGATGCCCAGTTACTGTAGTCAATTTAGGAGCACAGGACTAACGCGTAGAAGAACAAAAGCTGTTCCAGAATTTCTCTAGAGGACTCATAATGACTCCCCTTTGGAATGCTATCAAAGAGCTCAGCTGTAACTTTCCAGTACATTATTGGCTGAAGCAGTAACATAATTATCTACTGTGACAAAAAACAATAGTATTCTCAGCTTCTAAAACTATGGATTTTGCCTGCAGCTACTTTTCTCACCTTCATGCATTTTCACAAGGATGATTTGTTCATACATTTCTTCCCTAACAAATAGGCCATTTAAAATATCTTTCAGTCGACATTGAAAGTTCATTCAGCAATGGGAGAATCCCATAACTTCATGGATTTAAAAACCGGTGTCTCTAACACATAAATCACAAATACACACAGCCTAAACATAATTTTTCAGTAACCTCTACACACTAAAGCCTGGTCTGCTGTGACCCCTCTTTGCTCAAAGTAATTTTTTTTTGACATGTCAAATTGCTGAAAACTAGGCTATTGCTCTCATTTACTGATAACAAAATAGCAAGTGTACAAAAACCCACAAAAGAACACTTTTTAGGAAGGGAGGGCAATCCCCAATTCTTTAACATTCCCTATATGCTATAAATATAGATACTCCTTGACTTATGGCTATAATTGAATCCAGAATTACGGTTGTAGATAATGCCAGTTGTTAAATGGGTCATCATGTGAGTGACCTGATTTTCCGTGTGTGCGTGTGGTGGTCATTAAGCAAACCTAGCAGTCATTAAGCAAACCCACTGTTTGCAATGAGTATTTTTTTCTCAGCAGGTCCTGACAAAAATATATATATATTGTAAATTGTGGTTCACATAACTGTGGGACACTGCAAACAGCTATAAATGCAGGCCAATTGCTGAGCACCCAAAATGCAATCAAGTGAATGTAGGGTGGGGCAGCCATAGGAATTTTTAATCTGGGTCATAAGTACTTTTGGGGGAGGGGGGCGAGAGAAGTCCATCCTAACTCTGAATGGTTGCTAAGTGACCAGTCATTAAGTAAGGAATACCTGTAAAGACATTTCCTGATATTGTTATAGCTGTGTCCTAATTTAAGAGGGAAGCAAATTTTATGGCAATTGTTTACTGGTGGCACAAGGACTGCTGATACCACTTTGATTCAACCATGGGGAGAAGTCCTCCCACAGGGATCTAATTTTCAAAAGCTGGTAAATGATGCATATTTATTTTATTTATTTATGTAATTTATATGCCGCCCTTCTCCCGAAGGACTCAGGGTCTTAGAAAAAACTTAGGAAGGTCAAAGATAAGTGGAGATAATATTTTCCCACATAAAAACTGTGCACTGTTCTGTCCCCGTCTCCACACACACACACACACACACAGAGCCAGCCGAGGGTTAAAGGAAGCACTTGGCACGCAGAGTTTGTTATCAAAAACTTGGCAGCAATACGAGCACCGACTGCCAAGTACTTTTTACTTAATATCCCTTCACCAGATAAACAGAAATATACACAGTTTGCAAATAGTCCAGTTCAAAACAAACCTTCGGCAGATTTAAGCGTTGTTCAAAGTGACTAGCCAAAGTTAGTTTTTGTCCGTCACAGAGTCTTTTGTCCACCACACTCTCTTATATAGTCTCTGGGGTGTGGTCCAGTGACTCAGCCTAATCCCTGGCACGCCTCCTCAACTGCTGCAACCGTTTATCACGCCTTCTTTGGCGTGGATCCAGGAACAACAGATCGCCTCCATCGCTATCATCGGAGACACCTGGCTCCTGGCTAATCTCCTCTTCCTCGGCCGGCACCTGAGGCAGTGCCAGAGAGGAGGGGCCTGGAGAGGGAGGCCTGGCCGACTCCTCTCCTTCATGTTCGGAGCCTTCTCCCTCCGATAAGATAGGCTCGGAGGACGGAGCCACAACATGCACGAAAGGAGAGAGGACTTAGCTCTATAAGTAGTTTTCTTCCAAGAAATGTTCAAAAGCAGAAATTTGTTAAGACTTCTGACACTATGAACACTAATTTTATGTTTACCCAGAATATATGAATAAATAAAAGCCCAATCAAGGAAATTAAATACTAAACAAGTTCTGTCAGGCCTGAAAGTTTTTATTGCTTGGAAATAGAGCAGATACATGTAGCAATATACAAGTAAAACAAAGCTGCCTTTGAGCTGAACTCAGATGCTGGTGATTTACATGGACCTATCAATTTATTTGTTTGTTTGTTTGTTAAATTTGCAAGGTTGCCCATCTATCTGATGAAACTTTGGGCAGTAAACAAACACACCATATTAAAACACGCCTTTTGTTTTGGATTTACAGGATTATTAACATAAATTAGAGCTTCTCTCCTGACATTATTTGATAACTGGCCAGTAAGAGAAACAGCCCAACCCTCCTCACAGGATTGTTGTTGTGGGGGGAAATAGGAGGAGGAGGAAGATACGTTGGATCTGTTTATCACCTTGAGTTATTCATAAAAATAATAAAGATGAGATACAAATAAAGGTATGAAAACTATTTTGGAGGATGTTATCAAAAGTCACATTTCAAGAATGAACAAGGAAAAAATAGTAATTTTCTAGACTTTTAGATTGTCTACATTTCTACAAAAATATAGCTATATCTTTATTGGATCATGCCCAGACCCCCTTTAAGGGCCAATCAGGCAGGAGATATACAGTATCCCTCCTGCCCCATTCCTTTGGAACAGTAGTTATAAACAAGCAACTCTTAGCCAATGGAAATACTGAGTGTTCAAGGCTAATAGACATGATAGACCTTACTTTTACAAAGGAGCCCAATCCCCTTTCAAAGTAATCCATGTCAGTAGCCATCACTATATATTGCAGTAATGTATTCCAGAGGTTCATTATTTGTTATGTGGTAAATTATTTTGCCTGTTTTGAATCTTCTTCCTGCCAGCTTCATTGGCAGGCCTAGTACTTGGAGATAGGGGGAAAAATTTCTTTGTCACTTTCTTAATTCGGTGCATGATTTTAGGCACCTCAATAATTTCTCCCCTAATTATCCCAAGCATAATTTATTTTTTTCCACACAAGAAAGATGTTCAAGTCCCCAATCTTTGATTCTACTGCTTAGTAATTTTTCCAAGCCTATTATGTCTTTTTTCAAGGACTGTAGTTTTAAGAATTGATTCACTCTAATAATTGATTCACTCTAATAATTGATTCTTATCTGAATTGATTCACTCTAATAATTATTGATTTGATTCACTCTAATAATTGATTCACTCTACTAATAATTGATTCACTCTAATAATTGATTGATTCACTCTAATAATAATTGATTTGAATTGATTCACTCTAATAATTAAAATAATAATTATTAATAATTTTATCGTCATTGTACGTGTATACCCACAGTATACCCAATACAACGAAATTCACTTAACACCCAAAGACCAGGTCCAACACATATAACAATCCCCAAACACACCCCCACCCACCACAAATTCCCCACCCCTAAACCATTCTGATGGGATGACAGGTAGTCCTCGACTTACAACAGTTTATTTAGTGAATGTTCAAAATTACATCACTGAAAAAAGTGATGTGATAAAGACACAGAACCATACGGTTTGCTGACATTTAGCGCCTCAGATCAGGACTAAGAGGAAAGAGTGCCATCTACTGATTCACCAGTTATTGCAGTCATTTTTGGTTTTCATAAAAGTAAAAAATAACTGACAGTTAATATTGCACCTCTATAAACAAAAATATATTTTAGATGAGGATAAATGATTGAGAAAAATTACTTGCCACTAAAAACCCACATCCATAATTTATTGATTTGTATTTATAATAAAGATAGCAGCACATCATAGAAGTTTTTAAGTAAAGAGAGCATCCATGTACTGTACTTAATTGAACATTTGGCTTGTTTGCTTTTTAAACTACCGTAATAAGACATATAGAATCATAGGGCTGAAAAGGATTTTGGAGATCTCCTTGGCATTTATTTTATTAAAATAACATTGTGAAGATTATACAAAATTTTATTGCAATGAACTAGGTTAGCCATTCCTACCACAATATCAAAACAAAGAAACAAAGGTTTTCAATCTCTCCTTCATAACTGTCTCAGAGAATAGAAAGTCCAAAAGTCAGACTACAACATACAGTGTTATATGTAAAGTACAAACCAGGCAGGCCAGAAAATCTGTTACTTCCTATTTACCGATACATTAGAGAAACCTTCATGTGGAAACAAAAATGTGAAAATGTACTAATTCCACAATTTGGAGCATGTTACAAATAAAAATAAGGTCAATTACTCTTATCAAGATGTTTGAAGAGTTCCAGTTTGGTGTGGTGATGAAGATGCTGACCCAGAAACCAGGAGACTTGAGGCATGAAAGATGGTTGGGGACTCTGGGCCAGTCACTCTCTCTTAGCCAAAGCCACTCACAGGATTGAGGGGAAAATAAGAGGAGTATTAGGTGCTTTCTACACCTTCAGTTATTTATAGCAAAGGCAGGATAAAAATATAATAACAGAAATGTCTACTTCAAAATACATGCATGATAAAAAGAATTCATGGTGACTTAAACATAGAAAGCCAGACAAAACTGAAACCCTCGAGTTTCAACCTCCAGCAACTACCCGGACACACTCATGCAAATACAAACAGTCCTTGACTTACAACAGTTCATTTAGTGATCGTTGAAACTTACAATGGCATTGAAAAAAGTGACTTATGACCATTTTTTATAGTTACCACCTTTGTAGAATCCCCATGATCATGTGATCAAAATTCAGATGCTTAGCAACTGGCTCATACTTATGACCATCCCTGTGTCCCAAGGTCATGCGATCCCCTTTTGCAACTTTTTGACAAGCAAAATCAACGGGGGGAAACCAGATTCACTTAACAACCAGATTGCTAACTTATCAATTGTAGTGATTCACTTAACAACTGTGGTAAGAAAGGTCGTAAAAGATGGGGGGAAACTCACTTAACAAATGTTTCACTTAACCACAGAAATATTGGGCTCCATTGTGGTCGTAAGTAGAGAACTACCTGTATCAGATACTTTCAACGCCTCTAGTTATTTATAGCAAAGCCAGAAAAAAAATAAAATAGCAGAAATTTCTACTTCAACATACATGGGTGATGAAAAGTGAATTAATTCATGGTGACTTCAAGCCCTTCATGGCATGGGCCCGGGGTACTTGCAGGACCACCTCCTACTAGCCTCCCACTGACCAGTGCGCTCACATAGGGCTGCCTTCCTCCGGGTGCCCTCGGCCAGACAATGTCGGCTGGCGACCCCCAGGATGAGGGCGTTTTCTGTGGCCACACCGACCCTCTGGAATGGGTTACCCACCGGGCTCCGGACGGCCCCTGACCTCCGCACTTTCCGCGCCGAGCTGAAGACATGGCTTTTTCAGCAAATTTCCTGATCTGTTGCGAGACTTTTTAAGCTTTTGGGGATTTTTAAATTGATTAATTTTAGTAATGTGGATAAAAGAAAGAAATCATACAGAGTCAGATACATGAGCTCTAAAGGACCCTCTCTATTCACATTATTATAAGGGGAAGATGTGCTTAGATACATGAGAGACCCTCTCTATTCACATTATTATAAGAGAGAAAAGTGCTTGCTTGGAGATTACATTAAAAGCAGCTAAACCCCATTAAGTGGTAATATATCTTCTGATGAGACCTAGATGTCACGGAAGGACAGCCATATGGAAAACATCTGAGTGACCTCACTGTGAATGACACAAAGACATATATGTTACAAAGAGTTACTTAATCCAATAAATTTACCCAAGGACAGCAGTAAATTTCCCATTAGCAACCACAGCACTTAAGAAAGGTTGTCTAGCTAAAGATAATCTTATAAACTAAAAATAATGGTTTACTAATGAGGAAATGTGTCAATTATCATATGACAGGTGTGTGTTAGCCATATATGGAGAACCTCGAGTTTCGACCTCCAGCGACTACACACCCATGCAACTACATGCAATTGCAACAGAAGGGGAATAGCTCCTAAATGTTCCCTCCTTCGCGAGTATATTGTGGTGCCCAGTCTAGCTAGCGTATAGTCAGCCCTAATCCCAACCCGGCCCGACGCTGCTTAGCTTCCGACTCCAGAGAAGCCCGCAGCAAAAGCAACCAACATCCGCCCTTATAAGCAACAGCCCGGCCCTCCGCATCATTCCACAAGAGAGGAACGGAACGAATCGAAGCCTCGATGCGCCCTCACCCACACTACACGTGGAATCTTCCGCTCCGACCGCTTTTCCGAAAAAGCCCGATCGTGTGACGTAGAGGCACATTTAAAAAAAATAATTATTATAACTCGGGAAGGGGAGGGCGCGTGCGTGCGTGCTCGCTCGCTTATGGCGCGAGTGACGGAAGTGACGTTTGTCTAAACAAAAAAAAAAAAACCCACCAACTCGGTCGAAAACTCCGAGGCGATATTTAAAAAGGGACGACGGCAAGAGAGGCCCGCGGGCCGGAAGTGAGGGGAGGGGCGTCGCGAGCAACTTTTTTCGTCAGCTGGGCGAGGAGCGAGTCTGGAGAGAGAGCGAGAGAGCGAGAGGCTAGAGAGACGCGAGAGGAGAGAGCGGAGGGGCGCTCCTCGCCGCCCGAGCGCCTTCTCAAGGGGGGAAAAGAACCGTTGGAGAGCCCGTCATGGATTTCCGCGAAGTCCTTTTGAAGGCCTCGGAACAGCAGGGATCGAGCGCCATGTCGGTAAGAAGGAAAGACGGGGGGGGGAAAGGGAAAGGGGGGGGGAGGACGCGGTGGGCTGGGATTGACGTGGATGCCAGCTGTTGCCCAACTCTTCCTTTCCGGACGCTTCGCCTGAGGAAGCTAGCCCTGGATCCGGAGTATTTGAAAAGAGGGATTCGCCATCCCTCTCTCTCTCTCTCTCTCACTGTGGAAGCATCCGCCCAGGCTTTGCAGCAGGATCATAGACCTGACCGTCCTCTCCTCCTGTCCTTTCAGCTTGGCAGCCTGTTTAGCGAGGGGTCGGCGAGAAATAATAGCCAGAAGATCTTCTCTCCCCCCCCCACCCGGGATCTCGAGATCCTAAGAGAGAGAGAGAGAGAGACCTAGAACCAGCGAGGGCTGTTTTCAACCCCTGGAAAGGTGGTTCAAGGGTGTCAAAGTGAAGTGAAAACTAACTTCTCCTGGTTATGTACATATTATACATAATACATGTACATATTTTTGGGGGGGGTTGATTTCAGGAATACATCTGAAAGGAAAGAGGGAGGGAGAGAAAGGAAAGGAAGGAAGGAAAGAAAGAAAAAGAAAGAAAGAAGAAAGGAAAGAAAGAAAGAAAGAAAGAAAGAAAGAAAGAAAGAAAGAAAGAAAGAAAGAGAAAGAAAGAAAGAAGAAAGAAAGCCAGTCGCAAAGAGAGCTGTTGGTTGCATTTATTTTTCTGCCTTCGTTGCGTTTGAGCTACGAGTGTTCAATGCAGGCTTTTTCGGTACTCTTTTCAGTTAAATATATGGTATCCAGTTGTACTAAACAGAGTAAGTAATGAGTAGTAATCGGGCAGACACATTCTTCCAAACTTTACTTGCCTTTGTATTCATGTACACGTGTACTGTATTTCACATAACTGACTAACAGCCCTAACATTTCAGAAATTCTAGCATACGGTAATCAAGTTGGGATGCTGTTTTATTATTTGGCTTAAGGATATATGGTTACGCTATGGAATTTGATAGCATTCAGGGCACAAACCAGCAGTAGAATATGATGAGTCCTTTCCTTGAAAAAACAGGATAAAATGGATGGAACATATTCATCTTCAGCTAGAAATCTTTAGTGGTTTTGTTGAAGTGTTCTGAGAAAGGCTGTGCCTGGAGTGCAGTTGAGATTTCCTATTTTATGACTAAAATTCTGTTGTTTTAAGTTCAGGTTAATCAGCTGTATGTGCAGGTAGTCCTCGATTTACCACCACAATTCAGCCCCAAATTTCTGTTGCTAAGTGAGACATTTGTTAAGTGAGCTTTGGCCCATTTTGTGACCTTTTTTGCAATTAATTAGTGAATCACTACAGTTGTTAATAGCAATAGCATTTAGACTTACGTACCGCTTTACAGCCCTTGCTAAGGACTTAAAGAGTCAGCATATTGTCCCCAACAATCTGGGCCCTCATTTTACTGACTTGGGAAGGATGGAAGGCTGAGTCAACCCTGAGCGGGTAAGATTCAAACTCCTGGCAATCAGCAGAATTTGCCTACAATACTGCATTCTAACCACTGAGCCATCACGGCTCAGTAATTCAGTTGTTAAATGAATATGGTTTCCCATTGATAGTTCTCATTAGAAGGTTGCAAAAAGTGATCTCATGATTCTGGGACACTGCAATCGTCATAAATGTTGGTTGCCAAGTGTCTGAGTTTTGATCATGTGACCATGGGGATGCGGCAACAATCGTAAGTGTGAAAAATGGTCATAAGTCATTTTTTTCAGTGCCATTGTAACTTCAAACGATCATTAAACAAACTCTTGAGAATCGAGGACTACCTGTATTAAAGTGTTTTATGGGGAAAGCATTGAATGAGATGAAGAACACACTTCATTCTAAAATAGCATAGCTTGTAACTCCTCCGTTTCAATGTCTTTAATGGAAAGGTATTTAAACAATGCTGTATTGTTCATTCCTTATTTTCTAAGCTTTGCCTTTGCTGTTTTTCTGTTTTTCTTGCTTGTTTCTCAAGACACTTGGCCACATTTGAATACTTCCTGCAAAGTAGCAAGTCATATTATAAATTTGCATATTGTTGGAATCTAACCTTATTAAACTTACTATACTTAGGACCACCAAGAGGCTTGATAATAGGGCATCTTGAAGAATATATTGTAATATCCTCCAAGAGCAGAAGGAGAGATCCATGTTAAAAGAAGCAGAATTTACCTCAGAAGCCCTGTCCCCAGTCTCTTTGTAAATATCTGAGATCCCTATCTTTCCAGTATCAGAGCTCCTTTGGTACCATGTTTCTCCAAAAAGATGACCCACCTTGAAAGGAAGCCCTATCACATTTTTGAGCGCATGCAATCAAATTAAGCCTCGCCACAAAATTAGCCCTAATTAAGACCCTGCCCACCCTAGTGCAGGGGGTGGGGCGAGGCACATAGGTTTAAAAAAAGCTGGGGTGGAGCTGCCCTATTTACTAGGCCTTGCACACTCCCACACCTTCCTCACCTTCTTCTGCGGCCACTTCTCCTGCGGCCACTTGTCGCCACTCACAAGCATCGCCCCGGCCTCCGTTTTGCCTTTAGATGCCTGCCGGAAGGCATCTGCAGCCAATAACAGAGCTCCAGAGCTCTGTTATCAGCTGCAGTTGCCTTCCGGCAGGCATCTAAAGGCAAAATGGAGGCCGGGGCGATGCGTGTGAGTGGCAACAAGCAGCCGCAGCAGAAGAAGAGGGCCAGCATTGAGCTCCTGCTGGGCGGGGCTGTCGGTGCCACTGCCACAAGGTGAGCCAATAATTAGAACCCTCCAAAAAGAAGGCCTAGCCATTTTTTCAGGGGTCAAAAGAAAATAAGACCCGGCCTTCTTTTGGGAGAAACACGGGTAGAAGCAAGTTTAGAAAAGGAATTGGCGCCTGTGTGGCATAGGGCCAGGATACTTGAGGGACCACCTGTCTCCCATAGCTTCTGCGCAGCTGGTAAGTGCCTGCACAGCTAGCATACCCTCTGGTATTTTTCTGTTAAAGAATATCATTTTCCTGTCATCTAGGGAGACTCTTTTTCCCAATTGCCCACATGAGTCCAGTAAGCCTTTGGATACAGCAATTGGTCAAAAGATTTCTTCATAGAAGCCAGCATAATCAGCTAATGTTTTAAATGGTTTCAATGCAAGTGAATGTGTTATGGGCACAGGTCGTAAAGTTTAAAGTTACGCTGGATGCCAGAAAAGATCCTTACAATCTGGTTTTCAAGATCCATGGTCCATTTCCATGGTGTTTGCTTTACAACAAAAGTCATAAATCCGGTGCAGTTATGTGTTGATCCACTTAATGACAGGCATAACATATGACCATAATTCCTAGCTGAATTACAGTAAAAAATTAAGGACAATCTGTAAAGATGCTTGGCCATTCCTATATTTAAAATATGTTTGTATTTCGCTGCAATGCTTTTTTTCCTTTGAATGCTAATTATTTGGGATTAAGGAAGTAAAATTAAGTTATAAGAAGAACCTAAATAGCCTCTTACCATTTTTGAAGTTTTTCTGTTGGAGGTTTTAAAGAATGGGACATAATCCTGGCAATGAGCCAACAAATAGGATGGAGATAAGATTGTTGCCTTCCTTTTCTACCTAGATTAGCAAGCTATTCATTTAGAATAGCTAAAGTGGTAGTCTAAATACCGGTATTTTACAAGTTGAAAGCATACAAGTTGAAAGCTTTGGATCCTGATTTTTTTTCTTCCCATATGATTTCTGATCTTCTGTTAATTTTATAGCTCTAGCAATTGGGGAATAGAAGGATTGTGTTCCTGCAGAAGTGTCCTGATAATACAAGGGATTGATGAGATCTTTTCCCTAGTGGAGACACGCTATTTTTTAACCCTGGGATACTACCCTGGAACAAATTATTGCAACATAAAGGAACTTCCAATACTAGACTGTGAAAATTTGTGAATTTTCTGCTTCTTAAAATGTGATCTAGCATTCAAATTTTTTTGTTGAATCTATTGTTGTGGAGAACAAATGAGATACCCAATGCATATAGGGATTCTGTAAAACAGCAGGAGACAACCTGGTGGTCTTTCAAATAATCTGAAGTTTGAAGTTCTTTATGTCTGCCATTGATCACACAGTTCAAAACATGTGAAGGTCATAAAGTTATTTTCCTCTGCCAGACAGGAATCCAAGAATTCCACTTGTCTAGTTTTCTTATAGTATATCAAAGTGAAATCATTTTGCTGGACTGTTAAAAGGAATTGGAAGCCTATCTTTTTGTAAAGTCCTTTTGTATTGGTCTTCTTTGACTATATAGTCCAGGTGCTTGCTCCATTACATGTCTTGAGAAAGAAGAGTTTTGCTGGAGCCTTTAAAATGCTGCCTCTCAGTAGAATGGATTATGCCTAAGGTGTATTTGCTTTCTATGAATAAAATATATTAGGAAGAAAAATCTATTCTAAGAATTATACCCCATATTCTACTTGTAATTCTACAACAAAGTTGCTGAAAGTTGCTATATAGAAAATATAACTTTCTCAGTTTGATCAGTTGTTTTCATGTTATGTTCTTGTTGACAATGAAATTACCAATTTTCTCCAAAATTCAGTGAATGGCTTTAAG